CAGAATGTTTTCCCCTAATTGCTCTCAGGTCATTAGTGGGTTGTATTTCTAATGGGCTTTTTGTTAAATAAAAATCAATATGTGAACACATAAAATATAATGCAGCATACTGTTGATAGTTACATATTAACATTTAAAATCAAGTACTATTCTTGTATTAAAGTTGATGGTTAGATTTTATATAATGCTGTAAGCAAATTTTACAGAGATCTTATGCTTAAAACCAATAGCCAAATATTAAGAAGTGAGTTCGTAAAACTTGGCGATTAACCTGTTTGTTAAAACTATGTGTATATTAAAGATCCATGTTTTTTAATAGCGATAGGAAAGGGGGAAATCATGAATTCTCTACGTCTTCAAAAAGCAGCTTCTCTAAATGTTTTAACTAGCTGCTGAGATTGCCAGGATTATATATTTTGCATTTTATTTCATCCCTAAACTAAAAGTCATGCATTAAAGTGTATGCAACAATCTATATGGGTCACACTTTTTGCCTTCAGAGTACCAAAAAATCTCTTTTTACCCCATATTATCTAAAATTTTGAGCAGTATTTCTTGCTGAAAACAGCAATTTTACCCATGTGTTAGTCCAGATACATTTATGTAGTTCCTTTATATACTATCAAAGGAGCTCCTACCATCTGGTATGTCTGGAAGAAACTTCATTGAGTAGAAATTAGAAGCCAGCATTCCAGTCATTTGAAATTTTCTACAACAGGGACATGAAAACCTCAACAGGCCTTAAAGGGATAAGAGGATTTAAAAACATTAAAAAAAAAAAAAATCGGTTGACATTCATTGTCAAATGGCGTACAAGAAAGTTCTACTAGCATTCTGTAATTGTATAGGATAAGATAATATTTATTCCTAATGATTACATTCCAGAAAGCGATATGTTTAGCAGCTGTTTTTCAGAAGGCTTGTCAAGTTTTACTATTGTTATTTAATCCAGGCATAACTGTGCGAACTTAAACAAAAGCTGCACACCATTCAACCAAATAGTGACAAATTATCCTAACAAATTCTTATCTTTTGTTATTCTATACACAAATCTTTGCTTCATTAGGCATTTGGTACTACAATTTTTATTTCAGAGCGTAGTGCATATGTAGAAAGGGAAAGAAATCCTTTTGGATATTGGTAATGAATATAACATATGAAATTAAATTCTAAAAACAGAACACAAAACTGGGATTCATGACTCCATTTTTACCATGGGGAGGAAACAAGTACTACATAACCAGAATAATTCTTCAGAAGCACACCTTGCTAACAATTATAACTAAAGAATAAATATGTATAATTGAAGAGTTAATCAACAGTAAGATTATGATCTAAAACTGATACCAATAAGAAGCTAGAAATAATAAACACCTATCCTGACATTCACCAAGGAAATAATGAGTATCACCTTAATAAGCTTTTTCTGTACTTATTTATTTATTTATTTTTGAGTTGGAATCTCACTATCACACAGGCTGGAGTGCAGTGGTGCACTCACGGCCACCCCAGCATTCACCTGCTGGCTTCCAGCGATCCTTCCACCTCAGCCTTCCAAGTAGCTGGAACTACAGGGGCACACTACCATGCCCAGCTAATTTTCTACTTTTATTGTAGAGATGAGGTCTTGCCAAGTTGCCCAGGCTGTTCTCGAACCAGGCTCAGGCAATCCACTTGCCTCAGCCTCCCAAAGTGCTGGGATTAAAGACTGAACCACCAAGCCCGGCCTGTTATTTTTTTTTTAATTAGGCAAAAGGTCAATGATAAATGGCAAATGTGGTCCCTTAAACAGAAAATAGAGATGAATCCATTTTTCTTCCCATGAAGAATGAGATTAAGAAGAATGAGGTTTAAATTGCACTGTGAGGTATTTCAGTTCTAGGATTAAGTTTCCTGATAATGAGGAGTTTATACCCCTGGAATTGCCTACGGGGAGAGAGACAGAATACTTTTCCTGAAGTATGTAATGAAATGGAGGGTGACAGTAATGCCCAAAGGCAAAATGATGCATCAAATAAGTGACTTCCTTTTAAGGCAACCTTTTAGAAATGAAGTTATTTTCTTTGAAGCTAGGGAGGTGTTTTGTTTTGTCTCTTAAGGAGTTATACTTGTGTCAGACCATCTGAAGTCTGCTTTTAATTAAGGAGAAAATAACGAATATCTGATTGCTTACTATTTACCAAGTATTGCACTTTTATCTCATCTAATTTTCACAATAATTCTGACAGGTCTGTCTCATAGATAAGAAAGTTGATGCTCAAGATATTGTGCTTTGCCTAAAGTCACAGCTATTTGTGGCATACTAGGATTCCTCACACCTAGTGTTCCCCTTTCAATACATCTCCCCACATCACTCTCTTAAGTGTCAAAGTCACCACCTACCAAAGATTTCATCAAGAACTGGAACATGGAATCTTCAAAATTTCTGCCTTAAATCGATTTTGAGTCATACCTCAGGAAGTAAAGAAGCCGTGGCTAGCCTTCATGCTCTGACTTCTTATCCAAAGAAGTCAAAAAAAGTCTCACCCAAACTCAAATGTCTCTCACCATACTAACTTAAGCCCAATGACTTTTTTTTTTTTAAGACAATGAAGAACCATTTACCAGTTTAGCAAGGGTAAAAGTTATTTTGCAGGCAGAATCATTTGGGTCATAGCCTTTATCAGCAAAAATTGCTTATAGTTATCTCTAATTTTCAAATCAAAGACCTGTGTTTTATTACTTTCTATATGAAACAACTTTGCCTCAGTTCTTTTAAACTCATGTTTTCTCAAGAGAATCAAACCAACTAACAAAATGCCATGTAAGACTTCTAAAATAGATCTTGGGAACTGCTTTATGCTAGTGACCCACCAGCATCTCACAGGAGCTACAAAACTTCATGTTGGTCTATTTGCAGGATCTTTAACACAAGGTTCTGCTCTGCTAAAAAGGCCTATCCTGAAATCCTGAAAAGACACCCATCATTCACTAAACTGAGGAAGGCCTATGTTCAGCAGGTAATAAATGGAATAATTTCATGTAACAGCTATTAAAACAATACTTTTTTATTTTTAACTCAAGATCCAATTTGTGATTTCAACAAGACATCAATAAAAGAACTGGCACGGCAATGACAGCTGTGGGCATAATGGCAGACCAGTCTCTTGGCCTAATAATGTATAACTAACCTTTTCCCTGGAAGGTGGAATGCACTTGTGGTAGAACAAAGCCTCTTTGAAAAAATTATTAGCTATGGGTCAGCAGGTATTTATGGAACATGTTATAAGGCAGAAAGTACTGCAACATAAAATTTTAGGTTAATAGGTCATCAGGTCCAATCCCCAACCAATGCTTGGATCCTCTCCACATCATCTTTGCCAAGTTCTTATCTAGCCTCTGCTTGACAAGGGCTACTACCTGAGGCAGCCCATCCCATAATGAACCATCTTTTTGAGAATATTCTCCCTAATATGAAGCTCAAATCTGTTGTTCTATGGCTTCACTCAGTGGACCTCATTCTACCCTTTTGAACCACAGAGCATCTTGCTCTAATGTACTATATTTGTGTTCCCCTCCACTTCCTAAGCTAAAACTTCCAAAATCCTTCAAGTAGTCTTTAAGTTCCTTTACCAGGCTAAATGTGCCTCAATTTTTTTTTAATTTCAAAGTATGGCTCCTAGAAAGAATTATAACATCCCAACACCATGAAACTTAGCTGATGAAATGCTGCCACCCTAAGTCTAATATTACTATGTCAATTAGTGGTTTGAAGGAAGGATAATTTCTTAATTCACTATACAGAACTTACCAGTGTGAAGAATGTATAGAAAGGCATCTTTCCTTCCAAACACAGAACAGACTCATGTTACAGAAATGAAAACCCCAAAAGAGGAGTAAACACATCCCTCCCTTATCCCCAAATTAGTGTTTAACCATACTGCTTATATGGAACACATTTTGTCTGAAGGATGCAATGCAAATGTTGTTTCACTGCTTGCAATTCTCTAGCTAAGTCTCAAAAGTATTATCATAGTTATATGAAAACATGTCAGGACCAAATATGTCAGGACCATGGTGAGGAAAATAAGTAATGAGTTACAGGTAAAACAAAAAAGAGTCTAGAAAAAATACATTTAAACCTCAGAAGAGCTCTCCCAGAGTCTAATAGAGCAATGATCCCTAAGTACTTACAACCATGAAATACAGATTAAGAAATAGAGAATGCCCTATCTTTAAGGCCATTGGTTTGATATGCAAAAACTGAAAGTGTTTTTCTAATTATAATATATCTCATTCATGTGGCTTGAGTTTTTTAAAAAGCTGTTTCACTTTAATCAGAAGACCAATTTAAAATCATTTGCAACTGGTATTCAGCCAGCATGAGTCATTAATTGAAACTTGATGCCAGATCTGGTAGCTTAAAGGGTAAACGAGGCAAATCATTGACTTAACGCTGTAGGCGTCACCAGTGTCCTCCAAAAGCATATATTCACGAACAGAGGAAGAAAGATAAGAATCCAGTCCTTTGTTAAATCTGCCTCCCCCTCCAACAAGTCTAAATGATTAAAATAAATAATCCTTATCCAAATATCTTATTTTGGTCAATGGTTTCTATCCTTCTTACAAACTCTAGATCAGAACTTGACACAATATCAAACCAATTCATTTTTAGTTACTTTCTTGCCAGTTTGCTCAGGAAGAGATGTTAAAGTAAAACGATTGAAAGACAGAAAAAGAAAGGCCAGGGAACGCCAATAGTCTAATCTAAGTAATCCACAAAAATGGATTATTGGCCCTGTATAGAAAAAAAAAAAGTTCACATAATTCAAAAGAGCTAATAAAAGCACACAACAGAGAAAAAACCTTCCAAGGGTAAAGAAGCACACATCCTTTACAGTCTACACAAAGCCATAATGAAATATTATTAATATCTACCAACTATAATTTTATAGATTTTTTTTCCCAAGCCTGACTCTATGACATGAATATCATACATTTTCACTGGAAACTGAAAAAAGTTTTGCCGTATATTTAATAACTTTATTGAAAGAAGAAATAGATCATACCAAAAATGGAGGAAGACGTGGACTTCAGTTGTATTATTAGACCAAGCCAAATTAAATTATAATAAAGCAACTATCTCTTTTTATCCACCATTAAATGAGAATTCACTTTTTTTTTTAAGGCTCATTTTAGCAAATATTGCCACGATAAACTATTAAGCAAACCAGTAAATTAGGTCCTGGCCTGCATTAAGGTGACTTCATTTAATTTTTCAAGCTGTCCTTGAAGGAATTTCTGTTTACCCAAAAAAGCCCCTCTTGCCACAAAAATGCTTATTCAACTAATATTTATTGCAATTGCACCTACAATATTGTCAGAGATTGTTCTCAAACTTGAGCGATATGAGTGGACTAGTGTCCATAAGGCCTAACCAGGAATTCATACAACTAAGAAAAAAGGAAACAAAGTCTCACTTCTCATGAATCCCTGCTGGTGGGCCATGGATGGGTGACTGTAAGCTAGAGAGTCTGGGAGGAGCAACAAGGAAGAAAAGAGTTGAAAGCAGAGCTTTCTAATCCCTTTTTGGGTGTGGCCAAGGGTATATAGAGGAGGCTAAACCCTACGGAATAATACAAGTGTGACCCTAAAAGCAGTTATTCTGCAATTGAATCAGTCCTATTTAACAAGACCCTTTCCTCCAAGTTCACAAAGCAGCTTTATTTTCAACACTCTTGCTGCTGTGAGACAAAGTTGGGTCATCATGTGCTGGGGAATTTGGATTTTTGCTTTAAATAAAGAGTAGTAAATCTAAACTTAGGGATGTTTCTTCCCAGTTCAAAAAGATAAGTTCTGCCTATGTTGATTACCTTGTTTTCTGTTTAGTGGAAAAGATGGGGAGAGAAAGGCAACAAATGTTACAAATTATTTTGGTATTTATTAAAATGACTTTTCCCTTCTGTAGAGACAGATTCTAAAAGAAAAACAAAACAAGTCATACTTCTCAGACCCCTTCCTCTTTCCCATAGGAAGTGGAAGAACACAGTGAGGCCAACCATAGCTATCAGTCCCCTAAACAATGTGTATAATCCCATGTGCAAGAGATTGGTCACTGTGAAACCTGCTAGAGAAATGTCAGAAATGCTTTACCAATATCATGTCTCTACATGACTCATTTCTTTACAATTAAATAGCTTTCAAACATCAACTTACCAGGACTAAGATTGTCACCATCTACAGCAACAGTGAAATTACCTAGCATATCCCCATTCCATTACTAACCCCTCAGTTATACTAAGCAGCAAGCTACAGAAACATCTGACAGCATCTACAGCATACAGGTTTAATTATTTTCCCAATTTGCATATATATCAAAGAACAAATTGGAAGCTATCAAAGGATGGCACTGAAGAAACAGAAACACATATTCAGCAGCCCGTCTTCCATTTTGAGTCGTTTTAAAATTGGCTAAGTAAAGGCATATACACCTCCATTAGAATTGGAGATTTGCAGTAACACATGCATATAAGGACAGGAGGGAAGGAAAGCAGCAGGAAGGGAAGAAAAATGAAAAGGGGAGTCTGGGAATGAGAGAGAGAAAAAGAAAAAGAAACAGGAAAGAGTGGATGTCAAGAGTCTGAGGGGAACATTATTACAAGATGGAGGGGATAAATGACAGTTCAACCTGCTTCCACAAGCAGAATTTTTCTAAGGTTATCACTGAAGATACAAAAATGGTTCATAAGACTTTTCATCTGTTGCTATTCTCACTTTACTAAAAAAACCTACAAAATTCTGAACCTTGGTCTGTCCAAGATAGACAGTACCAAGAAGTAAAAGATGGGACTTGCTATCAAGGACTGTGCTCTGTATGGAGCCCTGCACTGCAGTCCATTAATCCACAGTATTTTGGTCATATCTGATCTGTTTTCTCATGCAACCCATAATGTTTCAGCACTAATCTTTTATATTAGAATATCAACCATTCATATTTTTTTCATTTTTCAAACTTTTAAATTTACTTAACAGGCAGGAAAAATAAAAGAAGAAGAAGATGATAGTGATTCAGAGGGAAACATGAAAGGAATTCTCTTTTCCAAAAAAAAAAATAATCCACCTTTAAAAAGGTTGCAATGAGACTTTGAGAATGAGTGCTGATTCATGGATTTCCCCCATATTTTTTTTTTATTTCTATATAATACATTTAAGGACATTAATGTACTAAAATGTTTGGTCTGTGAAATAGCAGAATCATTAGCACCAAAAGGAGTCATGGAAATTTTATATATTATTAAAACAATGATTGTTACTGTTGGTCATGGGTAAAGGTTTCATTTCATTTTTACATCCCAAAGTTCTTGAAAGTGCCTGTGAACAAGAGAAATAACACTTTTCAAAATCTCTATGGGTCGTCAGTATACACCACAGAGACAGTACTTGGCCTTCCCAGTTTGGGTTTATCTGGTAGACAAGAAAACCAGGGCCCCCAGAAGCCACTAAAGAATAGCCCCTACATGCACCCACTGATGTGCAGAAGGGATCCCTACAGCATATTTCCCCCTGGACCGTTTTCAGGAATGCGCCTTTACTTGCTTTTTTAAAAAACAAAAGCAACATGCTCTGCAGATCATGGAGTGCCTAGTGCAATTTTCTCCTTGCTCCAACTCCAGACTGCAAAAGGGTAAAACCATTATATGTTCTGCTAATGCTGGCCTGTGGTCGAGGCCCTTGGCCTGCCATGCTTTGTAAGCTGAGAAGCCCCCAGGAGTCAGAAGGTCCAAGAGCGGGAGCCACAGTCATCGCCAGATCTCCCCAGCAACTTGTGGCCCATCAGGGCAGCTGCTGATTCCTTTTGCATCTCCTTGCTGCAGCCTTTAGTTGAAATTACAACAAGTCAAATAGCTGATGCTTTTCCCTTCTCCAGGTAAGGGTGAGGATACATTGTTCACAAGTGTGTTCTGTCTGGCTTCACTGATGAGTCGGCAGGCCAAGTCAAGGAAGAGTTTCTCCACATTATCAGATTCCTTGGCTGAGGTCTCCAGGTAATACATGTCCTGAGCTTCTGAGAATTCTTCAGCTCTCTGTTGGGAGACCTCTCTCCTTTCAGCCAGATCGATCTTGTTGCCTGTAACAGTAGTAAAATCAAAGAAAGAATTAGCATTTTTTTGCAGGCTCAAAAGCATCAAAATTCAATTACAGATCTGAAGTCAAATTAGACAGATGGGCAAGTAAAGCAAAGCAAATGTGACTGTGATTACTGAAATGTTTACTTTAAAATATGAGTGCCACGTGTAAAGGCGAGGACAAGAAACAGCCCAAATGTCCATCAGTAGGGCACTGGCTGAATAAATTGCAGTACATCCATGCAATGGAGTATTTGCTGATATAAAAAACAATGAGGAATGTTTCTATGTACTGTCAAAGAACGAGAGCATGTACTGTTAAATTAAGAAAGCAAAGCAGAAAGCTGTCTATATGCAACTGTCTATCCAAGAAAAATGGAAGAATATGAATATATGTATCATACACACACTTTTTTCCTTATTTTTTAAAATGAAAGAATAAACCAAATCTTAATTTAAAAGATAATGGTTACCTATGAAAGAAACAGGGATAGAAACCAGACCTCTCTGAATATACATTGTTTTATAGGTTTGACTTTCGAAATTTATGTTTTATATAATTATATAATCATTCAGTTAATGCAAATTTAAATTTAAAAAGAAGCCCCTAAAAACTGAAAGCAAAATTAAGCAGATGAACTATTTACAATTTAGTGGTATAGCCATACAAAGAGAAATGATTTTTAAGTTGAAGATGTAATAATTTAACCATGTATTTTTAGTATATATAACCTAAGGACAAAAAGAATTGAAGAAAAAGAGCTTGAACTGATGCAGTAATCACCTTGTTGGTGGTAGTAGAGGTATTGTAATTTTCAGGCTGCTATATGTGTATTATGGAATAAATCAAATTAATAATTATGCTGGTATCAATGGGAAGTGGGATTTTTGGCATGGGAAAAAAGGAATACAGATATAAGATGAATTAGGTTGAGTAACATCTCTGTAGTCCTAAATTATAAAATAGGAGTATCAATATGAATCATTTTTTTTTTTATAATCTTTAAAAAGTTTTCAAGCTGGGTTGGGTGGCTCAGCCAGTAATCCCAGTACTTTGGGAGGCTGAGGTGTGTGGATTGCCTGAGCCCGCGGGTTCGAGACTCGCCTGGGCAACTTGACGAGACCTCATCTCTACAATAAATAAAAAATTAGCCGGGCGTGGTAGCTCGTGCCTGTAGTTCCAGCTACTTGGAAGGCTGAGGTGGAAGGATCGCCAGAGCCCAGCAGGTTGAGGTTGCGGTGGCCGGGAGCGGCCACTGCACTCCAGTCTGTGTGACAGAGTTAGACTCCAATTCAAAAAAAAAAAAAAAAACGTTTTCTATCTCCATTCTCTGGGAAACCTGTCAATGGCGATATGTCAATTGAACCTGGTAACGTTGCTTATGATAAAAAATGACCCCTGATTGATAAATTACATTTGGCCTAACGAATTTTACCTATGAATTATAAAATACCTCATGGAAAGCCATAACATTGAGCTTCCCTGAATATGGTAGATTCTTCTTACTTGAAGAGACCCTGAAAGTTACAGCTGTGGAGTTATTATAAGAGGTATTGCTTGTATGGGACATTGAGGCTTTTAGGCAAGGGCAGATTCTACACTTGCTGACATGAGCCTTGTTCCCTCAAGTGGGGTGAGAACAAGAGGTCCTGAAAGCGATATGGATTACTGTAAGGATTACTTCCCCTGAAGAGTGATACCTGACGCTGACCTGTTGTTCAGCTGTGTTTCCTGTCCTGTATTCTTCACATGTAGTCCCTGGTAGTCTTTCTTATGAGTCAGAAAAGCTAGCAGAGGCTAAGAAGATAAGCCTCTTGTGGATACTATAGAATTTATCACACACGCCCACACAGACATGCATACACACCAACTCTGTCCACTGAAAATCCTAAAAACAATGACTAACCTACTAGGAGGGAGGACTCTTAGCACCTAGGTTGTGGCCTCTAAATACAACATCCCATTCAAAAGAAACAGCATTTCTTGAAGAAACGGCTAATTCTAGGCCTAGGGCAGGAAATGCACAAGATGTGGCTGAAACATTACTCATACCAGAAAGCAAATAAAATTATCAAAGATTCCTGGGGTCATATTAAAAGGACTCAAGAGCCCATTTGAAGAAGCTCTTGCTGTCAAAGTTGGAACAATTGGAGCATCAATGGTATTAATTGCAAAAATCTAAAATATATCAAATATATTTAAATCTATACATTCATAATGATATTGAAAATATAAACAGACTTCAATAGTTACTTTTGGAACATACTAGACAACCAACTCATTAGCTTGAAAAGTGGTGATTAAAAAATCAAGAATCTTTCTTGCCTGTCCTATGAAAATTGTACCTTAGAATACCATACATGTAAGATTTGGGCTAAAAAGAAAAAAATTCTCACCAGGCCTCCAGATTTACCTACAAATCTGCAAGAACTATAGGTGATGGAGAAACATGCCAAATGATGCCACAGGAACAAAATGTAGACTTGTAAAGTCCTTTCGTTTTTTATTTGTTTGTTTTTATTTTTAGTGAGTATCTCACTCTGTTGCCCAGACTGGAGTTCAATGGCATGATTATGGCTCACTGCAGCCTCAACCTCCTCGACTCAGGCAATTCTTCCAACTCAGTCTCCCAAGTAGTTGGGACTACAGGCATGGGTCATCATGCCTGGCTAATTTTAATTTTTTTAAAGAGATGAAGTCTCACTGTGTTGCCTAGAATGGTCTTGAACTCCTAGGCTCAAGTAATCCTCCTGCCTTAGCCTCCCAAAATGCTGGGATTACCAGTGTGAGTCATCGCATTCAGCCTGCAAAGTTTTTAGGACAAACAAATGCTCTAGCAATTAATCCGAAAAGAGGAGAGAAATGGAAGGGGGGCCTACATATAGAAGGATAATTAAGGCCAGGCACAGTGGTTTACACCTGTAATCCCAGCACTTTGGGAGGCCAAGGTGAGAGGATTGCCTTAGTCCAGGAGTTTGAGACCAGCCTGAGCAACTTGGCAAGACCTCGTCTCTGCAATAAATAAAAAAATTAGCCAGGCATGGTGGTACACACCTGTGGTTCTGGCTACTTGGAAGGCTGAGGTGGAAGGATCACCTGAGCCCAGCAGGTAGAGGATATGGTGGCTGTGAGCGTGCCACCATATATTTGTCACTACGAAAAAAATCAAAGGTTATTTTCTGCTTTTCTTCTATCCTAAGCAGAGGCTCTATGCTCCAACATGATCAAACAAACTGTAGCATTTCCCTTAGTGAACTCTTTCTGAAATATAGTATTTCTCAAATCAGCATAAATGTTAGAGAGGGAAAAAAATAATCAAAGTCCATTTTTTAAGGCAATAAACAATTGCTTCAATAATGAATTCCTTATCAACTTAAAAGATATATTTTACTTCTAGCCCAGCCATTTCAGCCATCTTGTAATTAGATTTTCTTAGGTGTTTAGCAATCCACATAAATTTCATGACCATCCAACTTCTTCTCTAGAGCCTACATTGATAGAAAAATTAATCAGCAATGTTTTCTACTTCATTTTTCTAAACCATTACCATGGGATAGAACCTATTTCATTTTCTCTTCTATTGCAGAAGACCTGAGTGTTGACTGCAAAAATTATATAGCTATAGACTATATTCTTGCAAGGTACCAAGGCACAAGCTTTATGTAATTTTAAATCCTCTGATGCCCATGAATCAATTTCCCTCATTGTTTTTTCTTACTTACCCACTAACACAGTGATGACCTTGTTGCTGGCATATTGTTCTATCTCCCGCAGCCACTCAGGAAGGCAACGGAAGGATTCTTCACAGGTAATGTCATAGGTGAGGATCAAGGCATTGGCGCTTCGGTAATAACTCTGGGTAATGGACCGAAATCTCTCCTGACCTGCTGTGTCCCAGATCTGTAGCTGTAAAGGCATAAGAGAGGAATCAAGTTGGAGAAGCAGAAAAGAAAGAAAACATTGCCTTGCTTTTAGTTTGAAAACGGGAACACCTTCACCCAAATAATTTCATGGTTATTTTCTGCCCTAAAAAAAAAAGGACTTATGATTAAAACAAAAAAAACTTGTTTGGTGTATTTTGGGGTTAGGGAATGAGGCTTGTTTTTGTTGTTGTTGTTGTGTTTTTTTGTTATTTAAAAGTTTTCTCTTTATTTGTAAATACATAAAACTCTTTGGGTATTTATTATGTACCCAGCTCTACTTTAAACATTTTATGTGTAGAAACTCAGTCTTAACAATGATCCTATGAGGTAGATGCTATTACAATAACCATTACTCATATGAGAAAACCGAAGCACAGAGACGACTACTGAAAAAGAACTGCATCTCACAGCCAGTATGCCCCAGAGTCAATTCAGCCACTCATTGTGCCCCAAGTCCACACACTTAACCACAATGCTGTATTATAAAAGTCACGGTATGTACAGGGCAAGCTGTCATTTTGTGACTGTTAGCATTTTTGTCAGCAACTGTACAAAGATCCAACCTCACCACCTTTTCCAGTACAAGATTCAAATAAATGTGTGAAGGTATTACTTCTGTTGATGAACACAGGAATAATGACATGGCCGACAAAAAAGGTAATTTCCCTCCAGAATTTTTAAGCTCTTATGACCTTGGGCAAGTCACTTAATTTCTTTGGGCTTCAGTTGTTTCTTTATAAAAAGGGGTAAATAACATATAACCCACTGAAAGTTCACTATTGGGGGAGGGGGCTGAGGTCTCACTCTCACCCAGGTTGGAGTCTAGTGGCACAATCACAACTCGCTGCAGCCTCAACCTCCTGGGTGATCCTTCAGCCTCAGCCTCCTGAGTAGCTGGGACTACAGGTGCATGCCACCATACCCACCTAATTTTTTTATTTTTCGTAGAGACAAAGTCTAGCTTTGTTGCCCAGAATGGTCTTGAACTTTCAGACTCAGGTGGTCCTCCCGCCTCAGCCTCCCAAAGTGCTAGGATTACAGACATGAGCCATCATTCCCAGCCATGAAAGTTAACATTTTCTGAAGTTGTCTATCAGTTCTAAGAACCCATAACTGATTATTCTAATAACAAAGAAGAAGGCAACACTTCTCACTTTTCCCTGAATTTCCCTACTCAGAGCAGACGACTACTGAAAAAGAAAAAGAACTGTTCTCCATAGAAGCTGCTGAGTGTAGAACAAATCACAAGGCCTTGAGAAATAAAAACATCAACACCAATAATAATCTTCCCTTCTAACTGTATACATCTCATAGGTCCCAGGTATATTTACCTCCATAGACATAACATTATTTCCTCAGGGAAGGTTTTCCAGAATCTTCAGATTAGGCCAGGTTCTCCATTTCCCACCCCCACCCCCGCCCACAGTCCCTATCATTCTCCCTCATAGCACCCAACACACTTGAGTCATGTATTCATTTGTAATAATTTGTTTAACTGCTGTCTTCCCCATTAGACTGAAAGTTTCATGAAGAGAAAGTCAGGGTTCACTTTACTCACCAAGTACAGCACCTGGCAAAATAATAGGTGCTGAAATATTTATTGACAGTTTCATTTAACTTTACAGCTACCCAGTAAGGTAGGCAAGTTCATGCTCCCCCTTATTAATGAAAACTCTGTCTCCTAAGTTCACAAAGCTAGAACTCAGACACCAGGTCTTCTATTCCCAGTTGAGGATTCGTTCCATACTACCACGCTGCCTTTGCCACTGAAGACTAATTTAAATGTGCGTCCGTATCAAAGGAGGGCAAATCAGTTGGTGTCATTCTCTGCTCATACCAGTTTAGCTAAGAGACTGCTGAGTAGCAGCACACAAAGACTCTCCTTTGATCTGAAGTTGCAGCTGCTCTTTGATGATGTACATGGAAGTCTGTGTATGCTAAAGGTGACCATACAGATATATTGGTTTGGGGTGGGATGAAAACCATAAATCTCTTCTCTGCCTCAAACCTAGGAACATGGTTCCTCCCTGCCAAGACATGTCTTTGAAAAACAGAATATTGTTTTAAAGCCATACTGAGTTTCTGAAACACTTTTGATTGGATTTAGACACTGTCAATCACTGGAAGTCAGTGTGTTCCCTTACTGGCACATCTTGAGAGCAGTTTTGAAGGTTAAAACCACTGAAATATTTTCAAGAATAGTGATTGTGTGGCCTTGTTAAGAAATATACTACTTTCTCATAGGAAGTTGCCTGTTTCTAGTCTGAGAGTTAATTATTGAGGATATTCATATTCTACTGCCTTTATCACTCAACTTGGTTTTATCATTCTCTGCAACCATTCACTCCTTTCCAGTATTCATAGGACATTAATATATTAGCCTCATGCCTGTTGATATGTTTTCAATACCACAGTTATGGACTTTCTAACCACTCTCACTTCCAGCACGGGGCTACACTGCTATCTTCCTTATTCTACTACGTAACCTGCATTGCCTCATTGTCACAATAATGTATTGCAATCATTGGTTCACTAGCCTGTCCTCTTCCTAGATCGAGTTCTTTGAGGGCAAGGGCTGTCTTTTACTTGACCCTTTGTCCCCAATGCTTTCCTAACACAGTCTACTGTATGTGGTGAACACATTTGAATGATGACTGATTAAATGAACAAAGGATTGTAGAATCACAAAGGAAAGACTGATTAATTCTACTTAGTAGATTAGTAGGGTATTAAAGAAGGTCTCACAGATAAAATATTAGAGCTGGATGATAGCAAGTGCTTCAGGGACAAAGATGTTTTACCTACCACAGTGCTCGGCACAAAACATTTACTACAATAGAGGATGAATGGATGAACTGATGGTCCAAGGAATGAATATATGTACATACTTTCATGACTCTCCTATTTTTGCAACACAGTCCTCATTACAGAGAAATAAAGTAAATCTATTTCTAGTGAAATTAATCTCTTAAGGCTAAAATATTTTACACTTAGCTTATAGTTTTGCTCATTACTCATTAATTTATGATAAACTAAAAAAAATCAATGGATAAAAGAAATTATTTTTTCCAATTTTTATTGTGCTAAAATACACATAAAATGTATCACTTTAACCACTTTTAAGTGTACAGGTCAGTGGTCTACATGTTTTAATTATATTTTCTATCCAAGGTTACCTTCATAGCACAGGCCATCTTAAGAGAGGGCCTTCTTCTTTAAGGCTTTCTTTACTGATTTGTTATTTATGTAGCTTTAATAGCTATGAGAATCTTTCTAATACCGTGAATTCTCTGTCTTTAATGCTGGGAGCCATTCCCAGGACAGAATGATACTTGTGGGGGAGGCAGAGGTGGGTGGTGAGAAGTTAGGAGAGAGATCTGCCCCTGTCACTCACCAGGCAGGTGATATGCAAACCGCTGGCAGAGTCTCTTTTCCCCTGACTGTATGGAGCTCTGTGAAGGCCTGCAAACTGCTAGCAAGAAGACACTTAAACATCACCAAGAAGAGGCATTCAGTAAGTACAAAGAACATGGGCGATGATAGGACTACCACAACATAGTCCTGCCCTTTTCTAGCAAAGGATTTACTCTTCATATGTCCACACGTTAATGAGGCCCTTGGATTAATGTGGTTAAAAGACATTCGGCATCTTGATTCTGCATATTGGGATAGAAAGATTCACAGGCAAATTGATTCCGACTGGATTTGGAAGATTAGCCAACTCTCACTTTTTATAGATAAAGTTCCAGAAGCCTAAAAGAGGTACTGGGGATGGGAACTGTGCTGTGAAACAAAGAGGAAAAAGACATAAACATTGCTCGTGGGGAGCCTGTAGTTTTATGGTACAGTCAGATGTTATGAAAAGATGACTTTTATCAGAATGTAGTATGCACTTAAAAAATAAGGTTATGGTTTGCAGAATGTAGAATAAATGGAATATCTAAGCCTGGGGATCCAGGAAAAAAAATAAGTCCGTTCTTTGATAGTGGGGACCATTTTCTTTTCTTTTTTCTTTTGTTTTCTTGAGTTGGAGTCTCACTCTGTCACTCAGGCTGAAGGGTAGTGGCATGATCACGGCTCACCGCAGCCTTGACCTTCTGGGCTCAGGTGATCCTTCCGCCTCAGCCTCCTGAGTAGCTGGGACTACAGGCGCATGCCATCACATGTGGCTGATTTTTTTTTTATTTGTGTAGAGATGAGGTCTCGCTATGTTGCCCAGGCTAGTCTTGACTCCTGGGCTCAAGCAATCCTCCCACCTAGGCTTCCCAAAGCACTGGGATTACAGGAGTGAACCACCACACCCAGCCAAGGGACTTTCTTATTCACTTTTATCCTGCCAGTGCCTGACATGTAGTAGGCACATTTCTGGTCAAACAGATTAGCTCACACGAGTTGTGTGTGTATACAAGGGGGACCCCCCAAAACAAAATATATTTATAAAAAATTAGGTATTCATTCTTATATGTTTAAATGTCACCTTCAAAATACTTTCTGTTTGATGTAATATACCTATCTAGATGTTTTTCCCACTGCTCAAAACAGTTTTGAAGCCGGGCTCGGTGGCTCAGCCTGTAATCCCGTGCCTTTGGGAGGCTGAGGTGAGAGGATTGCCTGAGCCCGTGGGCTCGAGACCCGCCTGGGCAGTGAGATCTCATCTCTACAATAAAT